TTCATATACACAGATGGCTTCGTCAAGGTCATGGGATGTGCCTTGGTGATCAAAGCGGAATCGGAGTGAGAAGCCCAAGTTATTCAAATAGGTAGCACGGCCGGTATGTTCCTCGGGGCATAGAGAAACAGCTTCGCGACCAACTCGTATGCTCTCGTCTATGTCATCAATGCTGCCGCATTGTCGAAAGCGTAATTGGAAAGCACTTGAAAGCTCGTAGAGTGCGTCTGGACGGTGTTGATGACCCAGAGGACAGAGCCGGAGCACAATTCGTCTGAGGTGGATGCCTTCATCTGATGCGTTGGTTGGAAGATTGTTGCATGCGCGAATCACATAATCCACGCCATTTTCCCCTGCCGCGATGCTGCAAAGGTAGGTGCCCTCTGGACAAAGGGGCAGTAGCTTGCAGTACAGTTGGGCGGATTCATGGATATAGACGGCAGTGGCCTCCTTGATGTAGCGCCAGGTCAACGCTTCAGTGAGGTGATAGAGCGACAGCGGATGATCGGGGTGGCCCTGCGTACGCAATTCAAGGGCTTCCCGGAAGAGGGAAGTGACGGAGTCAATGTCTTGGAAATCCTTCCGAATGTAGCCTTTGAGGCGGGCCCACGCGAGGTTGGTGAGAGCCGCTGCACGGTCAGGATGGTCGACCGGACACTGGTCTAGAGCCGACTGAAAATGCTCTACAGCATCGTTCAGGTAAGAGTCGTTCTCGCTTGAAACATATTCGGCGAATCGGGTGTGGCCTGCATCCGTGTCTCGATCAATCTCGCAGTCTGCTGTGGACTGCAGTTGACGTTCCGTCAGCAAAAGCCAACGGCACAGGGACTGATGTCACTCACGTCAAGCAGTGTGTTGTCCTGATTGTCGCAAGATTGTACAACAGCGGCCTTTAGCGTGAGGGAAGGACAGTCGCCACGAACGAGTGGGAATGAGAGATCTACTAGATGTTAGTAGTCGTGCGTGAATGAGAGGCTAGTTACTCACTGAAAGGTTCATCTCCGTGATTGAGTAGCTCATCCCACGTCGTTTCGAGTTCTCCGATGAGTTCTCCATTTCCCAGCATTCGATCGAGCTCGAAAGATGCCCTGATATGCAACGATAGTTTAGGTGAACCGTCTAATAATCTACAAAAACAGAAGATCAGTCCTCGAGTCGCGTCTGAAAGTCTCCGTGGACTTCACAAGGTCATGATATCGCCCCATGCTACAGATTCGTCGGATGATAAGACTTTGATGGCTGATTTCCAGCGTCTCCTCGAGTCAACGTCGACGGAGACGTAAATGCTTGCGGGTACGCGCCCAGAGGGTATTCGAAGATTCTTTCCGCCGATGACTGTAGATAGATTATGAGGATCATGAAACAGATACGAAGGTGATATAGAGAGCGGCTAACCTTCGAGTTTGATAGATTGGCCTTCCAAGCTACTAGGCATGATGGAGCGATGAAGATCAAGGATGGGTTGAGCGGTGGGTAGAATGAACGTTAGAGGAAGATGGTGGGTAGGGATACGGGGATTGTAGATGAAGTTCAGGTGAAGGGAGTAGAGAATTCGAGGGTTCAGGTCATGCTGCACGTGTATTTCCATATTGTCGATGGCTATTCGGCACAATAGACGCTAGTATGGTTGCACTAAGCGCAAGGTCAAAAGCGTTAGCGGGAGAGCCTGTACTAGAGAAGTGGCATGCTAGGTTTAGAGGGGACATGTGAATCTCAGAGCGTCCTGCCATGTTGATCCAACCTTGCTACCGTACTGGCATACCGGGTGTGCTTGGCTTTTATCAGACATACTTGATACTCATTTAGCATGTACACCAAGGCGAAATGCAAAATCCAGTGTAATTGATAGTGCAAACAACACAAGTCGCTGAAAAGACGTGTACATGAGGAACCGAACGACTTTATACGAGTCCGAATGTTATGGACAGAGGATGGTCGAGCCACCTAGTGTTGTAGAAATAGAGGCAGCCTGGATTTACGAGGTCGGATGTAAGACGTACAGGGTACCTGGGACTTGCTTAAGCTCGGTCTTTGAGGTGAAGGTGGGGGGTAAATTTTGATGGAGGAATCGACCGTCGTCGAGAGACTCGGAGGGGTGTTCCCTGATCAGGCCATCTGCTATTCAATTGCGAAAAAGACTTCAGCCATAGGCACAAGTCCAATTTTATCTTACTAGTCATCTCCGAGATTGAGACAGACTCCACAAAATGGCCGCCGTTCGCACATTGAAAAGTCGAGCACCTTTGCTCAGATTTCGGCTGCCTTTGCATATTACATATCCAGCTTGTAACTGAAACTGGTTTTTGCATTAATGAGTTGCTGTGCCATGAAGTCGGAAGTCCGCCGTTTCCGATCGCGTGATTTTGAAGAAATAAGCACAGCCACCACCTGTTAGTTTGAGGCTGTTGGACTTGCAACGAGAAACGTTCAGTCCAGTCTGTGACTGTCTGCCCTCATCGTGTCCAACGGTGAACTTATCGTTTTTACCGTGGCCGAATGGCCAACCGCATTTCAATTCTGACCGCGAGCGAGCCCAGGTCAGCACTGGACCGACAATCCAGCTTGGTTTCATCTTCAGCCGCATCATTCGTAACAGCGCCTTCGCCGACGACGACGATCTGCCCAGACATGGACCACACTCATACTCAAATTCATATAGTAGAAGTAACAAGGAATGCAGTTCACCTTCACCCGCCAAAACCATTGCCTAGCATTCCCCGTGAGGATACAATCGGTCCACCTCCACCTTCTCCTCCAGCCAGCGTAGACGAGTCACCTGACAATCTATCATCCTTATTCCCAGTCAGGCTCTCCAAGTCAGACCCACTCCCGAAGGGCATCGAGGCAGACATCGATGTAGAGTTGGATACAGCCACCATAAACAGTCGGCGCACACACGACCGTCTTCACCGTGCTTCCACAGAGACAAAATTTTCTGCCAGAGTCCCTAAAGTCTCCCAGACGAGCAGCTACGCCCCAACTGCTAGCACATCCAAGACCCAGTATCCAGACGGTCTCCTCCACCCACCCCCTCGTCCTGTACGCCGCAACACGACAGGCTCCGCACGCCGTCCTCATCCACCTCCATCTCCATATGTCGCAACTGGAGAACTGGAGGATGACATCCAGATCCAAGCAGAGCAGATTCGCCGTGAAAGGAAGCGAAAGCAGGCTGCCGAAGTTGCCGCAGCAGCTGTCGTCGAAGTGGCTCAGAAAGAGGACGAGCTTCCCTTGGTAGGCAATTTAATAGGAGAGGACCATGCAAACTATGTCCTTATGTACAACATGCTCACGGGCATCAGGATAGCTGTGCGTCCCCAATCTCTCTATGTGCGCAGGCTCTGACTCCACCCAGGTCTCACGATGCCAGGCAAAGATAAAGCGACCCCTTACCGAACAGGATTTTACCGCAAGGCACAAATACTCTTTCGATATGTACGTATTCCCTATCCGTCCCATACTCCAAACTCATATCCCTTCAGCGTCGGGAACGAACTCACTCCCTCCGCGAGATACGACTTCAAATTCAAAGACTATGCCCCTTGGGTCTTCCGCGAACTCCGCGAAGACCACTTCTCTCTGGACCCTGCAGACTATCTCCTCTCCCTCACATCTAAATACATCCTCTCCGAGCTCACCTCTCCAGGCAAAAGCGGCTCTTTCTTCTACTTCTCCCGCGATTACCGCTTCATCATAAAGACCATCCGGCACGCGGAACACAAGTTCCTCCTTCGAGTTCTCCCGCAGTACTGGGAGCATGTCAAAGCGAACCCTCATACTTTACTGAGCCGGTTTTATGGACTTCATCGGGTAAAGCTTCCTAGGGGACAAAAGATTCATTTCGTGATCATGAACAATTTGTTCCCGCCTCACAAAGACATTCACGAATCTTACGATCTCAAAGGGAGCACTGTCGGGCGTATCGTACCACCTGCGAAACTGGAGCAGAATCCTCGTGCCGTGCAGAAGGATTTGAACTGGATCGATAGTAATAGGGTGCTGGAGCTTGGTCCGGAGAAGAGGGCCCTTTTAACGGAGCAGTTGAGGAGGGATAGTGAGATGTTGAGGGATCTTGGAGTTATGGATTATAGCTTACTCGTTGGGCTTCATTGGGGGAATAGGGGAAATAGGGAGAATGTGAGAGGGAGTACGTTGAGGGTATTTGAGGTTCGTCTACCGTTTCCTCTTGCGTTCAAAAGCCTTACCCTTTCGTGTGCGCAGCCCTCAGTCCCACCCATCCGGCGCAAAACCACGCAAACGAAAGACGGGCGGTCCCCTGAAGCGATAGCTATGCGCCGAATCATGCGCGCATCTGATCCGCACCAGTTAGGAACGGCACTTGATCTCCCGGATTCGCCTTCTCCGTCAATGCAAACCGTTGCGCCGTCTACGCCAGTCCACTCCCAGCGCACGCGACCACGTTCTGGTTCGAAGGGTACGAGCAACACAAATTCGGTTGTGAGCGGGAATGGGATTATGCAACAGGCCCACCCGACATTCCAAACCCCACCACATCCATCTCATCCTCTCCACCAATCTCAGCCTCCTCAGCCTCAGCCTCCCCACCCGCACCACCATCCTCCTTCCTACACACCCTCGCAGCAACCCCACCCCACTCAAGACCGCGATCACTTTCTGTTCTATCAAGATGAAGGAGGCCTTCAAGCGACCGATGAAAGCAACGAGGAGATGGATGTCATTTATTATTTGGGAATTATTGATATTTTGACTCCATATGGGGGGTTAAAGAAGTGTGAGCATTTTTGGAAGGGGCTGAGCGCTGATCGGGTGAGTTGCGTTTTTTTTAGCCATTTCATTCCTTCCTTCGTTTTTAAAACTAACGCAAACTCACCTTTCAACAGCATAAAATTAGCCCCGTCCCGCCTTCCGAATACGCGGACCGATTCTTTGGGTTCATGAAAGCTATTATGCGTGGAGGAGAGGGTGGGGCGCGATTCAAGGCTGAGTGATATCCTTCGTGTGTATGGCGTTTTGTGGTGTGGTGGGCGATGACTGATGTTTGCCCGTAGGCAACAGCTGAAACACGCATTAGTAATGAATATACTGCCCCCTCGTGGTCATGAACTCGGCGAGATTGACGACACCGCGTTACGTCAATTTATCATCGCATCACGCATCACGCATGATCCTTCAAACTCGTTTTCCTACCCCTGCTGTTGCTTCATCTGGGGAATCCGTGGACATTTGCGATGCATTGGAAATTGTACTGCTTCTGATCCTGTTTCTTTCTCTCCCTTTTTGCTCGGCACATTTTCCTATTTTGTTTCGACACCATCCACAATCCCTCATGTTCCCTTGCTCATGCTCTTTTTATTTTCTGCATGCTTTCCTTCATCCCACGACCGTTGCATCTCCCATCCACTACATATTCTATTTTAAAAAATTTGCATGTTAATTTCTTGTCCATTTTTCTTATTCCTTCATTCTTTTCCTGCTTGTTCGTGCATTATTTCCTTTTCCTTGTTGATGCGACTTTAACTTTAATATCGCCACGTGCTTAATCTAGTGCTCTGTCTCTATCCTTCCTCTGCTGCGTATGATTTGTTTTCGCTTGGAGGATGAGAGAGGGCACGTCGTACCTTTACTATCACTGCACGGGTACGATCTTTGAGCACATCATGCACGCTCCTTTGCGCAATCTCAACGTTTACGCTCGTTTCTCATCCTCAGCGCTTTCTTTCGTACACACATACACTCTCGTTCGGACACGCATTCACTCGTTCATACATGTTTTGTCTCATCCTCGTACATACTCACACTCGCTCGTTTCAATTTTTTTTCTTGCCTCTTGGACTATGCAGCTTGCTTGGGATAGATAGCATTATTTATGATGAGTCTAGGTATAATTTATCATGGTATGCATATGGCGTTGTTTGGCTTTGGGACGTCCGTCTTGAGTGGGGTATATGAGGGTCTATTCAAACGTGTTTTATTGCAAAGGGGTTTGGCGTCGAGGAGGTTTGCGATCGAATATACCGCATGTATAAGGCCTGGCTAGCTGTGCAACGACTTCGTTTCAGCGCGATGCCCGTGTACGGTCCCCCGGACTTTTCATACAATATACAAAACGCGGACGATCATCGATTCACAAGTACACATATTGATTCCACTTTGCAACCTTGGTTGTACAACTCATGCTACAGTAGCAGTATGCACAGCGCACACCATGATCCAACTACTTCTAGTCATCGCCGATATTGTAAACCTGTCCAAGGTTTCACAAGGAGAATCTCCACCTTTGGGGAGACCGACGTCCTCGACAGGAAGGCCACTTGCCTCAGGCCTCGCTTCCACAAATCGGTCATTCCTGGCTCGATATCATAGAAAAAAGTACTCCCCCCCTCACCGTCAATGGTGATGCGGACAGATATCGTGTATAGGGTGCCGTTGTAAATGCCAATCTGGGTCTCCGTGGCTGCCGTATATTCAGAATTATTATTAGGAACTGGCTGTAAACCTCTGAACGCACCTTTGACAGACATTGTATGTAGTAGTAAAAAGATTTGAAACAAGTGTTCGATGCAGCAGTAAAGATCCCTGGGGAATGAATCAAAAATGGGGACGAATGAAGCCAGGGCTTGGACTCACTCAGAGTAATCGAAGGAGTGATGGGGAGCTACCTTCAAGGCTTGTCGCGTATTTATACGCATGAACCTGAATGAATTCTTTCGGAGCTCACATTCAAAGCTCACATTGCCCGAGTTAAGTCATTGCCCAATGGGTTGCGGTTCAGATGATGATCAGAATCCGACGGAGCAACTGACCTTGGCAAAAGAGGGGTTCGGATGTGAAGCGAATAGCACTGACAGGCAACTCGTCATCATTCTTGCTATCATCGTGATTTATGTATGTAACATACCTTTGGAGTAAATCATGATGCGGACCATCAAGAGTTCCCGGCGCGAAGTCTGGCAGTTTGAGTTGGATCCGAACATGCTGAATGGAAGCCTGCAGGGATTACGTCTCGAGCCGTGCTCACAGCCTGAGTGGCACTCTCGAGGGTGCTGGATAGTGTTACGAGCACATTTCGATTGAAATAAAGGGACTACGATGAGTCAACTACATCTGCTCGTCGATAAAGTTGCGATTGACCCCGGAAGTGATAGTATCATGATCACTGATCCAACGACTACTTAGGTAACTGCCAGGATCGTGATGGTACTCAACTTGAACCGAGATGGCGACATTGTGTGTGATCAGTCGATCAACCAGGTTAATGTGACTTACGTTTAAAGTTTGAGCTGTTCCTGCAATACCTTTGTACCATGGGGAGCTAAGAGGCCGGGGGAAACTTGAATGCCACAATGCAAACTCAGCCGGAATTGGGTTTCTAAATCCGAGGTACGAGGGTGGGAGTCTGCGCTTAGTTAAGCGAGGTGGCGAAGCGCTCCTCGTCTTTCACTACAAGAACTTCACAATCAGCAAATATGGTGAAGATCAGTGTTCTGAGTTCTCTCTGTTTCTTTTGCATATTTTCTTTTATGACGTGATCGCCAGTTATCCGCCTTCACCACTCATCAGTGGCACCATCAAGGATCGTATCTGCCATCAGGTCCTAGGACTAGAGTCAGAGAACTCAACCCAGCGAAGCGACCTACTACTGCTGAACTTACTATGAACGTGTCCCGCGGCGGTTTCGTCATTCTTCCGCGAACCAAACAAGTAGACTGAGGTATGGGCACGAATCAGCGTATTGATTCATAGTAATAGTCCGTGATGGTGGCTCGTATCCGATGCAATAGCTCCTTGCTTTGGGATGTAAAAATAGTGGTCGCATGGCGGTGCAGAGAACCGAATGAAGTGTGAACTCATCAGATTTGAAGAGAGAACCAGCATACTGGACACCTCAGATCTGAGTACTGCTAGTAACGTGTATATTGTGGTTTCACGTTCTTGGAAAGCAGACGGCCGCGACTTGAAAGAAGATAAAGTCCTCATATTTCAACCCCGAAATGTGCTCGTAACACTGTCCAGCACCCTCGGACCTGTGCGAGCGCCACGTATGCGGGCAACGCTCGAGAAGTAATCCCCGTCAGGCTTCCATTCAGCATGTTCGGATCTGACTCAATTGTCAGACTTCGCGCCGGGAACTCTTGATAGGCCGCATGATGATTTACTCCAAAGGTGTGTTACATACATAAATCACGATGATGATGACAAGTTGCTTGTCAGTGCTATTCGTTTCACATCCGAACCCCTCTTTTGCCAAGGTCAGCTGCTTCGTCGGATTCTGATCATCATCTGAACCGTAATGTTACTGAGAAGATCGTGCAAAACCAATCGGGCAATGGCTTAACTCGGGCAATATGTGAGCCTTGAATGTGAGCTCCGAAAGAATTCATTCAGGTTCATGCGTATAAATACGCGACGAGTCTTGAAGGTAGCTCCCCATCGCTCCTTCGATTACTCTAAGTGAGTCCAAGGCCTGGTTCATTCGTCCTCATTTCTGATTCATTCCCCAGGATCTTATAGCTGCATCAAACACTTGTTTTCAAATCTCTTTACTACTACACATAATGTCTGTCAAAGGTGCGTTCAGAGGTTTACAACAGTTCCTAATAATATTCTGAATATATCGGCGGCCACAGAGACGTGATTAGGATTGAAAACAGCTCCCAATACACGATATCTGTCCGCATCACCGCTGACGGTGAGAAGGGGAGTACTTTGTTCTATGATATCGAGTCAGGAAAGTCCGAATCGTGGAAGCGAGGCCTGAAGCAAGTGGCCTTCGTGTTGAGGACACCGCTCTCCCCGAAGCTGAGGACTTTCATTGTGAACCCTGGAGAGGTTCACAATATCGGCGATGACGACTAGAAGCAGTTGGATCATGATGTGCGCTGTGTATACTACTAGTACTGCAGTGTAACAGACGCCTTGTTGTACAACAAAGTTGCAAGGTGGAATCGTTCTCATTAGCCTCATCTGACGTGACCTGCAAAGCTGCAAGAGAAACTGAAGGCAACTCCAGCCGACCTACCTCTGCCCAAGCAGAATAGAAAAATTACCCCTCCCTCACCTCCAAGGTAATCGTCGACCGGAATTGACAAGTTCAGTACTACCGTGTAGAATTTCTCGGAGAAGCTAGTAGGATTTGCTTCGATTGTCGCCAAGTTGTACACACTAACCCTTCATGTTTCAATCAGGGACGATTCACGCGTGTCATGATGAGGTGGCAGACGGTCATTGCAGTACTATGCTGCGCAACACTTGCTTGTAAGGTTGTTACTAAATCGTCTCTGAAGAGTCACCGGGCGGTCAGAATATAATATTGGAGCCCTCCGGCGAGAACTACGAGCCCGTAGACTCGGTTTGCTACTTTTCAGCTTGGTTCACTGAGCACTGTCGTGATGTGAGATGTATGAGCCAGTGCTCAGTTGTTTGAATAACGACGTCTACATATAGACAGCCCCTGGCACTCCTCAGCTATAGGTCGTGGAATAGTGGTACCGACCAGCACACGCAAACAACTTTCAGTACTGGCTCTCGATGTCTGACCCGCCAACGTGAAGTATTGTATTGTAATGCATATGTTCCTTTCTCTACACTCACCACAACGTCCGAAGGCGAACGAATTGGCCGATACTCGTACAAAATAGACAGAAACAAAGTACGGTTCCAAGAATGCGCGATTACCGTCTTCCAAGCCCACTCAGGTCCCATGCAACCATCGACTGCATGAAATCAAATCTGCCCAATATCCTCAGCACCAGATCGCGCGCAGAGGCCCGACTAAACGGCATCCACCAAGCATATGTATTGTACGTCAGGCTTGCGAATTTCAAAAGATTCTTTGTGAAGCCGATAATTTCCAACGCTCGAGCGTGACGCGCTTCCGCAAATTCCTGCAAAATAGTATCACCCACATCGGGGTTTTCTGCAGATGCTTGAATATGCTTCGTGACAACCTCTGAAAGGAAGATTGCATCCCTGATAGACAGGTTCATGCCCTGGCCGCCCGCGGGTGAATGAATATGGGCTGCGTCACCCACTAGGAAAATTGCGGCGCCAAGACGCGTGAAGGTGCGGTCAGCGATGGCTGAATGGGTTCTGAAACGTGTCGACCAGATCAGCTGATCGATCTTGACAGGCGTCGGATTAAGGGATAGAACTGATGTTATACACGCTGGACCATACGTGTCGATCAAGTCCTGGATGTACTCCTTCGGCGGTGCGCGAGGCGGCTCTCCATTCTTGAGTGGTACAGCACAATCTATACGAAATATGGGCTTTGAAATGGGTTTTCCATCTCGCGTCAGCTCGTCGTTGAAGCGGCTGCCGAGTGGTGTGAGCACAAATAAATTGCCTGTGGAAGCTGTGCCTTGAGGTGACCCTCGATGGTTAGCGGGCCAACAGGTTCGGGCTCGAATGTGACATCCGCAGAGACCATTTGAGCCAATAGGTGATTGCTTGGGTTTGGGCCTTCTGGGTCAGAGAACCCTATTCCAGAAACGGTACGAATCTAAAGGTGCTCGTTAGACATTCCACAAAGCTAAGCTAGCAGGCACCGAGAACTCACAGTCGAGCGAGCGCCATCTGCGCCAATGATATATCTAGCTTT